CATAGTCTGTCTTCAAATATTTGAAGGAGGAGTGACTTTACTCTGTGGTTCCAGGGTGCAGAACCAGGGAAGAGCGGTGGAATCTCAACTTACTTTTAGAAAGAAATCTCCTTCAAAGTTGTCCCACAATGGCAAGGGCTGAGGTACAGACACGGGACAGAGTCCTTGTCTCAGGGAGGGAGTGTGGATTAGGCGCTTTCTTGGGTCCCTTTTAACTGTGAGACTGGATTTCCCTGCATAATTGCACCCTGCCACTCTCCTCCTTGCCACTGACAAGCTGGTCACACAGGTCTTCTTCCCTTCCTTAAATTCACTGCACTGCCCACTCCAGGCCTTTACATGTTTTGTTCATGCTGTTCTATCTGCCATGAATGCCTTTCCCTATTTCCACTAACCACCCCATTTGCCTGGCTAAATTTTACCCATCCTTCAGGTCTCAACCACCCAGATTAGTGTTATCTGCTTGCATAGAATCTCGCAATACCCCTTACCACATGTTACACAACTACAGTCCTTTAATTGTTTATTTGCAGTTGTTTAAGAAATGTCTGCTTTTTTCCCTAGGATGTAAGCTTCTTGAAGATGACAACCATGATTGTTCTGCTCACTCAAGTATCTCCAGCCCTAGTCATTGGGCCTGGCACAGGGAAGCTCAATAAATATCAGTTGAGTGACTGACTCACCCCACTGCAGATATTGGACCTAACGTGGAAGAGAGAGAAAAACAGAGAGAGGGAGAGAGAGTGGCATGTTTGAATGTCTACATCTTTCCACTTGGTGATAGTTCATAGGCTGACCGTGGCGCAATCCCAGAGTTTAAAATTCTCAAACACACGTTTCCCGCTGAGGCTGGGCCACTTGCTACAATGGAGCAAAATCCCAAGAAAAATGAAACAATTCTTCTCCTTATATATTTATCTGAAACAGCTATAAAAATCCAATTCTGAAGGGTCAGGAAGAAATGAGGACAGAGTGATTTTCACATCACCTTTGCTCTCTCCAACGCATCACTTTGGTAGTCTGTGAGCTCTTGGATCTGTTTCATGCCTCTATTCAGTCTGGGAGTAGATCAGGCTGCTGACGAGAGTTAAATGCTGGGCAAGTAGTAGGTTGAGATCTATTCTGCCCAGTCAATGAGATCTGGAAGAAAGCTTTATTTCCATTTCTCTTTTCTTTTCACCTATAAATTGAGTGGCTTGACACATATTATTCTTTCCAGCCTTCACACCTGTGTTAGCCCTCTCCCAAAGAAGAAATACTTATCAAGCACTTATCCTAGGTCATGCACCATGCTAGGTGCTTTCAAAATATCTTTGAGCCCTTATAAACACCTGGTGAGGTGTGTAGCCATACCCTCATTTTACTCTGGAGGAATCTGGACAAGTCACTTGGCCAACATTACAGAACCAAAGAACACTGCAGCCCAGGATTAGAACTTGGCTGAAATTTATTCAAAGGCCGTTCCTTTTTTCTACTACACCACTCTGATTTAATACTTGGGATCTCCTATCAATACTACCTTTCTGTTTCAAAACAACCACTAATGCTTATTGGATAAAATAGAATTATCCTACATGTTATAACAAAGGGGAAGATTTATATAAAACAAAATTAAAGTATTGCTGTTGTGTTGTTGCCATGTTGTCTTTCCAAGGAGAAAAATCACTTTTACAGGAAAAAAAATTCTGGGCTATGACAGGGATTTGACAAGAAATACCCAACAACTTTTAAATCCTTTGGATGAATCCTCATCTGGGAATTTTGATCCTTTCTGAAGTTTTCTTAACTCCACAATGGTTTTGGCTTATAATTTACAAAATGAAGAATTGTTGTGCTAACAAGAAATGTAGATCTTGGAATAAAAATACCATGTCATTGAGTGTGACCTCAAGAGACAAAGTCCTTGTTCATTTATTTTAAGAGAAGAATTCATGAAACATTTGTAAGTACTGAGCAGCTGATAACACTTGATAGAATGCAGAGATGGGGCCCCAGGGAGGTGGAAACTCACCGATGGGAGAACTTGCAGCTTAGCGAGTCCTGGAGTGTTATCTGCCCGCTTGTCACTAAGGAAGCCAGATAGGAAAGTTTCAAGGATAAAGTTGAGAGTAAAGAGTGCCATCCAATCTTAGCAGCAGGATAATGCACAAAAGGAGCATTTTTGACATCATATCATCAACCTCATAAATAGAGAAGGGTAAGAGTGAAACCAAAGACTATTTTGCCATCTCCTTTAAACTTACCAACAAGAAGCCAAGAACATTCTGTCAAAAATATCCTAACTTTGCAAGATCCCTGTACTCTGTCCTCCAGTGAGTAGTTTCCTACCCAAACATAATATCTTCAGACAGCTAGAGCTCGTTTGTCAGAAAAGCACATAGATCACAGCTATATTTTCTTATCTTGATGGTCAAGTTTTAGAACACTTTGAAATATTTCCCCAGTCACTAGAGGACAGAGAAAATGCAAGATTTCATTAAGGAGTTGTTTTTTTTCCCAGCCCATCAAAGGTCTCTGTTTGAGCCTCTCTCCTGGTAGCACAAAAGCTATTAAATCACTTGAATGAAAGGTCAGGTTGCAAGCTGTGCAAGTATGGAAGCCAGCAAGCCCTGTGCAGACCACCCAGCTCTCCAAAGGGGTAGCAACACCAGATTCAGACGGGATAAGAGGCTATCGTCCTATGTAACCTGGCCCAGGAAAACAGCCTTTCTGGAGAGTTACAGGGTCTCCCATTGTGAGGAATGACTGTGTGGTCTAAAAAGGTGGCATTTGTCTAACTCACTATACGGGTAGTCTTGGTTCTTTGTGGGAGAAAGAAAATTTAAAAGACATTTTTGAAAAATTTTAAGAAAAGCAGTAAGTCGAATCTTTGGACCTATTCTCAGAGCAAATACTAAAAAGCTCCCATTCCCCCATCTCTGTGTTTAGAAGACTGAGCCATATCACCAATGTGAGAATATCAGAGCTGGAAGGGTACTAAAATTCATTGAATTCAACCCTTTCATTTTATTGATGGAGGAAGTGAAGGTTAGAGAAATTAGGTGGCTCATCCAAGATTGATTAGCAACAGCTAAGATTTGAAACATCATGAGGACAAGGTCTCTGTCCATACTACACACATTGATTTTTTTGCAGTCCTTGGAAACTAGCATGGAGCCTGGCATGTAGCAGGCACCTGCAAATATTTGTAATGAAGAGAGGGGAAAAAAGGAAGGGGTGCTGATGACCACATCCTATTTTCTTTTTGCTGTAAACACACAACGCCATAAAATGTCATTGGGGACGGGGATGGAGGCTGAGTTCTTACTTTCATATGTCGTCAAATGAGGACCTCAACATGGTGGAGGAATCACTTCCTGCTTCTCCCAACCCCTGTGGGTTGGTCCAATCTACTCTCAGTTTCTAGGAGTTAGACTGCGTCTGAGCAGTCCCAAGAAATAATCCAGCTCAATTCAGCCCAACTCAGCCTCGTCCATCCCTAGAAGCAGAGCATCCCCAGGAGGCTGATAAAGAATTAAGAACAGCCCTAGGTTACAATTTCCAAGACAAACATTGCTTGGCCATGGGGAGGCAGGTCAGACCATACAGCCCCACGCACGGAGGCAGGGAAACATGGCGTGCAGATACCTTAGCCCAACTCCCTTTCTCGCTCATGGGAATGGAAAGGCAGAGATGGAAAGCAGAGCAAGGAAAAAAAAAGATGAGGTTGGTGGGAGAGCTGGTAAAAGCCTTTGCTTGTCGGCCAAGCATGCAAAACCACGTTGCACATAACTTATGTTCAACATCGGCTCAAACTCAAGTTTACCATTTAGATACGAGGTTTAATATTAACCAAGTACATGAGGAGAATTTAATTGTCAAGGACAATGTAGAGCAGTGCTTATCCTAGTGTGATCTTACCTGTATCAGAATCACCTGGGTAAATTCCTGGCCCCACCCCAGGTCTAAAATCCTTTGGGGGTGTGGCCTAGGCACCTGCCTTTCATCAAGCACCCAAGTGGTTCTTATGCCCACTGAGATTTGAGAATCTTTATGGGAGACAAAGAGCAAAGGTAGTTAACGTTTTCCTAGAGTTATGCTGACAGGGGACTAAGAAGCAACTCTTTAAGCTTTAATTAGAGCCAAGAATGGCAGGACTCGTTTTCCAGAAACCTGAAAAGCATTTGATCACTGGGTCTGGTGTGCAAAGCAGCCCTGAAGAGGTTAATCTCTCCAGCAAGATTCCCAGGCCATAAACTCCAGCCAGCCCCCGGAAATGCTCTTTTTAAGCTTTGTAATTCACACCACGCAACAAGACAGAGCACAATAGCAAAAAAAAAAAAAAAAGCAGAAACGAAAATTAAATGCCTTGAAAATTATTTCTGTGATCCAGATGAAAACTAAAAAAACTATTTACTACAGCACCAGTCTCTGCACCAAATCTAAGTAGTGAGCAGAAAGAGCTTAAAAATCAGTCAAAAACTTCAGAACAATATGATTTTTTTGCCTCTCTGGCACTCTCTCATCCCCAGAAAAATAGAAACCACGCTTTTAAAAATATATATCCACATATAACTAAACTAAAGCAAGGGTATCCAAAAATCATCTCATCCAAATTTCTATATCTTTATACCATGAGGACATTCTCTGTTTTGTTAATTTTTGCATCTTTTCCCTGTGCCATTTCATTTAGCTGAGAAGAAACATTCTGATTTGGGGGGGAGAAATTACAAAATTTAAAAATGGTTATTTCATTGGTGAGTGCCGTTGGGGATGGATTCAGAAGAGAGTTATAAATTTGTTACACAATAAAGAGACTCTCTTTTTGGCATATGGTTTTTTAACACTGCAAGTTGCCACCTTCTGAGTTTACATGAGAATTAAACTTTTGCAAGCAGACTCTACATAACTCGTGCATCCTTACTTGGAGTTAACGCTACCATGCAAATAACCCCTGGGGCGTTCTGCTAAGAGGACATTCACAGTCAAGATGAGAGGAAGTATATAAAGTAGATACTTACAGGTAGTGGTTTTCCTTTCCGAGCCAAAAAGCAAGAAACCCTTGGCTCAGGCGGGCGGGATAGGAGTCACTGACCCGGTAATCTCTGGTTTAAAGGGCTTTGAGAGGAAGGGGGAGGAAAAACAACCCAGGGAAGGAAAGAGAGCTGAAATTCCAGTCTTTCAGGTCAGCTGAGTTTTAGCTTTCTTTGTACTAAAAATCCATTAACCCTCCCAACAAGAAAATGTAGAATTGAAGTTCACATACACTCCACTGTCTTGGCTGGTCTTCTCGAAGGCTGCTGTAGCTTTGAAAACTTCACGATTGCCAAGCCTCAGGACTGCTTCTCAGCAAGGCATGATGAAGGATGCCTGCAACTGTGTGCAGGGAGCCCGACCCCCTGGCAGAGAGCCACAGCTCGTCCAGTCCCCTCTTCTGGTTGGGTCCACAGGGACAAAAGTGAGCTTTTGTTAATAAGATCGGTTGCTTCTCTTCCCAGTCTCTCCCCAGCCTCCTTTCTCACTATTAGTTGTGTTCTAACTGCTCTGCCACTGGCTGAGCCAAAGCTGCCTCTCCTGCCTGCAGCTCATAGGCACACACACTCAGATACAGTCACCCAAACACACCACACACAGGCACACACATGTTACAAACACAGGCACCCTTGTGTGTGTGCCCGCACACACACACAGACAAGGCACACACGTACACGCTCTCACACCCATGTGCATGCACACTCACACATACCACAAACACATAGGTACACACGCACACGCTCACACTCATCCACATACATACTCACACAGTTTTTTCCTGAACCCTTAAACTTCAAACATACTTTTTTCCTGAACCTCTTTTCTTCAAACAAATTTCCATCCTGAAAGGTTTTAATTTAAATTCAGATGAGATGCCCAGCATTCAGAAGGGAGGAGGAAGGGGAACTGGCCCCTTTTAACTTTTGTCACAGCATTTAAAGGAAAAGATAGGAGATTCTAGGGTGCTGTTTTTAAGTACCACCTTACTTCTTCAGTTTATAAGGCTCTTCACACGTCTGGTTCTTTGTAAAACTCCCACTAATCTCATCTCATTTGCATATAGTTCATGACCCCCACTGAAAACATGTATCACAGGTCAAGAAAAGTCCTCGCAACAGAGCCTCTTTTAGTTAAACTTGTCAGGATTCTAGGGGTGGGTGAAAGTCTTGTTCATTAACAACTGTATAGTAAAATGCTTTCCTATTTTTCATCTTCACCAGAAAAAAATAATAATGATATGCCATCTGGCCCAACTTTTAGATTGACCATATATAGAGAAGTTGGAGTATTATCTCACTTTGGAGGAAATGTTTATATTGAGACAAGTCTGCCTGTTCTAAACCTTAGCCAAAAGTACAGAGCACTATAAATCCAATTCAACCTAGAGTGTGGTTTCCCCTAACAAGGTCACCACACTGTACCCCTTTACTTGGAAGCACCAAGGGGATGAGAGAAAAATGGAAAAGAAAGGGAAGAAAATTATGTGAGGAGGAAAGGAAAAAGAATGCAAAAGAAGAGAGGAAAATAATTATTTTATTTTACAACATGCTTTATACACTTACTCAAAGTCACCAGAAATTTAAAAGCTTCAAGAAGCTCTTGATTGATTCCATTTGCTCTAATAATAAATGAATGAAACTTTTGAGGAACCACTAAGCTCTTTACAAGTAAACAGATATTATTTACTAAACACAGTTATTAGTGAACAAAATATAGTGACAGTATGATTCACGTACAAATCTTGAAAAGGCAAGAAATAAAGACTTGATGATAGGAAACACAATATGATAGACAATTTTGTTCTCAGACTGAATTTAAAAATTGTTCACCTTATGAATATCTCACCTGCAAAGAAATGAAGATGATTCTAGATGCTGTCAGTCGAGATAGAAAATCCATTTGATAGAGGAATGATAGTAGGTAGTTGCATTGATGCATTGATGTGCTTCTCCTAAAATCTGGGCTAAATAAAGTTTATAGATTAGTCCAGAAACAGAAATAAATGTTTTACATCACTTCTATGGGAAAAAAATACCTTCAGCATTCTAAACAAAAAATAACAAACAAATTTAGATGGCAGTGTATTTCAAAATGTCTACAGGAAATGTAATTTTTGTAAAGTTTGTATACAGAACACTTGGTCTAACTTCTGCTGAACATATTCTAGAATAGGCAGAGTTAGGATTAGGTTAGCCAAAAAGTCTTGATATCTGAAGCACTTGCTTATACAAATAAGTCACTCTTTCTCTTTTATCTTCCACATATGGAGAGGTGCTATTGAAATAATACAATTATCAACTTTAATAAAGTACTCTTTGGACAAGTTGATATGCAAAGTCAGGGTATTTAAAAAGAACAAGCCGAAGAAACAACAAAGAATTCTTCCCCTAAAAGCATGTGCTGCTGAACTTAGTGCTGGAACAAAATGCATTTTAAAGAAATCACTCTATCCCTAACCTTAGGGTTGGAGTGATAGGAAAAATATAAAATGTCATGTGTTGGAGATGGGCTTACCTTTTTGGATTGTAAACCTGTATTATTTTTGTTGAATTGTTGTAGAACATGGCATTCTCTGAGAAGCAGAGCAAACACCTTCACCAACAACTCATATAAAGGAATGAGAAGTCTGCCTATTAAATGCTGCTGATGGCACCAAGCACAGAGGTCTTATGCACTGCAGTGTGAAGATGGTTTTCCACCGAGTCTGTAAAACCCAGTGGCTATGGGAAGCAATGCTGTGACAAGAAGACTACCAGTCCAGGAGTGGAAGGGACATACATACCCACACGCTAAATAGATGAACTTAAAAGCAAACAAGTATGGGTCAGCCTGATGGTTTAGTGGTTAAGTTTGGTGCTCTGTTTCAGAGGCCGGGCATCGTGGGATAGGAGATCCCTGGATAGGAGATCCCAGCCAATACAATGTCAAGAAAAAAAAATGAGGCATGAGGATTGGAAAAGAAGAAAATAAACCTTTCATTTGTAAAAGATACAAGTCTCTCTGTAAAACACCTTAAAGAAATCTTCTGAACTAGGGTGCTGGAAGAGGGTGCTCCTGACGAGAGACATTGAAGGGACAGACTTTTCCACACATGTATATGCATACACCAAGCAATATAGCTGTCAACAACAAAGAACTCCTCCCAGCACTTTGTTTTATGTTTGGAGCCAATGGTCTAGCTAGAGATTTGGAAGAATGAAAGATTCAGGTCTTTTCATTTTATGAGGGTTGATACTCAAATCATATGCAAACCATGTGCTTCACTGAATCTGTTTGAGCAATTGTTTCCCATCCTCCATATTCAAGGCCATTGCTTGTGGGAATGGAAATTCAAACTAAAAATTCTACTCATCACATTATTATTATTTCCACATTTGTCCAGTAAATTCAGGCAGGAAATTGGAATAAACTGACTCATTCCATTCCACTGTGCCCTCACAATTGAAAATCAAACAGGCAATGCATTTTTCTCATTAATAATTAACTTGAACACAGCTTCAAATGCTAGTATTAAAGTAAACAGACATTAGAACTTCCGCACACACATTAAAAACGGGAAAAGTCATCAGAAATCCTTTTTATCTCCATCTCTTACAGGAAAGAGGAAAATGCACTAAAGGCAACATAAACAATTTAATTTTAAGATGTTTTACATTTCAACTATCTTGGTGAGATTTGGTGATGATTTGGTCTTTCAAAGCTTAGCACCAGGAACAATTTTCTCTTTCCAAGCATAACACAAGGAGTCGAGAGTCTTCACTTACTGACTCTGGAAAAATCTCCTAACTCCAGCTCTCTCAAAAGATGACGCATTTCGCATCACAAAAAATTCAAAGTAAAAACATTTGTTACATTAAAAAAAAATCATGGCAGCTTAACCCAAGTCAGAATACTCTGAAAATAACAAAACAAACCCACAGACAAAAGATGCGTTTCACATCTTAGGAGTAAATGGCATAAATCGACTAACAAAATCCCAGATTTCTTTAGAAAGATGAGGCTGAAGTCACTCACTGAATGTGTCTTGCAAGAACTAAAATGTGCTGATCTATTAAATTCTCTTCAACAACGGTTATTGAACCTTAGTCTAAGCTAGGCTCTGTGCTAATCACGGGAGGCACAGAAACAAGTAAGACCTGATGCCTGCTCTCAAAAACCTCACAATGCAGGGCCGACCCCGTGGCTTAGTGGTTAAGTGTGCGCGCTCCGCTGCTGGCGGCCCAGGTTTGGATCCCGGGTGTGCACCGATGCACCGCTTCTCCGGCCATGCTGAGGCCACGTCCCACATACAGCAACTAGAAGGCTGTGCAACTATGACACAACTATCTACTGGGGCTTTGGGGGAAAAAATAAATAAATAAAATTATTAAAAAAAAAAAAAAAAACCTTACAATGCAGTTGGAGAAATAAGATAAGAATGTATAGAAATATATTGAGATGTGATTAAAGATAGTTACAGTTATTGAACATGTACCCCCTTATGTACATTTTTACTGACATACATTTATTAGCTCATTTAATCCTGACAACAATTGTAATACCTTGAGTGGATCTAGGAGCTCAAACCATTGCATCAGTTATCTCTCTACCTCTATTGACAAGCCCTATCTCTGCTTCGCTTTGCTTATTAACCTTATTTTCTCCTGGTATGTACAGGCTTTCTCGTGGTAAAGAAGAGCACCAGCAGCTCAGGCCTGCATTGCTATGGCTTGCAATCCAGAAGGAAGGAAAACTAATCTTCCATATTAGTTTTAGCAGACAAACCCTGGGCAACTGGGGAAGGAGTAGGGGTTATGGATGTTGACACATCAGGACAACAGGGAGTAGGGAAAGATTTTCCAGATGGGAGCAGGGGAAGAGGGATGGGACAGCAGCTGGGCGGGATAGTCAGGCACTGTGAGAGACGTCTAGTTTAATCTTTGAGGCAACAGGGAGCCATTGCAGGGTTTTTTTCCATTTTTATTGAAATACATTTGACATATAACATTGTGTAAATTTAAGGTGTACACCATGCTAATTTGATATATTTATATGTTGTAATACGATTGCCATTGTAGTGTTAATT